GGGGAAGTCCTTACTGACCAGGGAACAGAGTTCAAGGGGGAATTTCAAGCACTGCTGGATGAGGCGAAGGTGACACACAGGCAGACGTCCAGGTATCACCCCCAGAGCGATGGACTGACAGAGCGCCTGGTGCAGACCTTGAAGAGGAACCTGAGGGCGTACGGGGAGAAGCGGAAGAGGGACTGGGATGAGGAGCTAGACTGGATAGCGGCAGGGTATAGGTTCGGAAAGCAGGCGTCGCTGAAGGACTACTCCCCCTACAGTCTGTTGTTTGGGAAAGAGCCGATCTTACCCGTGGGAGCGCCAAGGGTGCTCACGGAAGTGGTGAGAGTGAAAGGGGCAGAACAGTGGGTCGCGCTGGCAGAAGCAAGGGCAAGGTACATGCGTGAGATGCTTCCTGCAGCGCTCGAGAACCTGCACACGGCACAGCTGCGGGATGCACATAGGTATGAGCAGCGGCAACAGCAGGGTGGAGGGAAGGCTAAGCCAGCAGTAATGGAGGGACAGGAAGTGTACCTGCGCAGGGCAAGGAAGGACACGTTGGACGTCGGGTTGGGGACAGAGAGGTGGAAGGTGAAGGAAGTAAGGGGATCAGGGGTGTTGGTGCTGGAGAATGAGAGGGGTGAGCGTACGGTGGATCACCAGACGAACACGGCGGCAGTGAAGGAGCGGCGACCTCAGCAGGAAGGTCCTGTGACACGTGCACGGGCAGCCCGAGCACGAGCACAGGAGGGGGCAGGAAGTGGCTGAGGAAGAACACAGTGTACAAGGTGTGGAAGGTAGGCAGAAGGAAGACAGGCGGGTAAAGACAGAAAACAGAGAAGACACAAGAGGGTAAGGGACCAAGGGGAGGAGGAAAAGGGTAACTCCGACAGCTGTCACCGAATCTAATGGTGAGTGCATCATATTCTGGACATTTGCTAATTGAGGTGTAGTAGTGCTGTAGCAATTACTATTCAAGCTATAAAGGGGGGGTAGTTGGGTATTGGGAGAAGCGAAGGGTTGGTGACATTGGGGGGCGCAGGGCGCTGCGGGAGCAATTCCAGGGACATTGGGAGACAGGAAATCTGGCGAGGGCCAATCCAAGGCCTAGGCGGCTCGGGCTCAACCCATCACGCTGAGAATTGCGCGACTGGGTAGCAATGCACAAGAAGCCTAGCCTAGCAAAGCAATCTTGTTCTCTCGACTTGTTTACCTATCATAGCGGATTTCTGTTACCGTACTCAAGCTATCGCAGCTAGGTGACTAAGCCGCTCTTGGTAGCCATCATGTGGGAGCACGTAACTCTCTGAGGAAGTGGCTGAGGAAGAACACAGTGTACAAGGTGTGGAAGGTAGGCAGAAGGAAGACAGGCGGGTAAAGACAGAAAACAGAGAAGACACAAGAGGGTAAGGGACCAAGGGGAGGAGGAAAAGGGTAACTCCGACAAGCAAGACACTGAGAGGGAATGAGCGCCCTGGTAGCGAAGGTCACATGTGATGGCGATGAGATCGAGACATGCCAGCTCCTGCCGGCTTAAGGGTGAGAGTGGTGAGAGGAGACAAGCAAGACAGGGGATGATGAGATTGATGGATAACCGACTGAACATCCGACTGGATAATGGGGGAATGACAACCGACTGACATGGACGCATGAGAAGCAGTCAGAATATAACACAAATGCCTACACAAAACAAATCTGTTCGCTGAAAGCTGCTGCCACGTCAAGTCATGGCTCCTGTATGTATGGGGCTCCCTCCCTTCGACATGACATGGACGCATGAGAAGCAGTCAGTATACAACACAAATGCGACAGAAAACAGAAAGGGCGCCTGAATCAGAGCCTCTTGCTCATGTTCAGCCTCAATGCTCCTCGGTTACAAAAACAATGCAGACTCAATAGCACTTCTGCCTCTCCAGCACCAGCTCTGATGCCCGTGCTCCCCTCCTCCTCTGTCCCTCCAGCTGCTGCTGCTGTGGCGTTTGAGACGGCTCAAAACCTACAAACAAGCACCCACCCACCCACCTTCTGCCTCTCCAGCAGAGCCTCTTTTCTCTTGCCCGTGCTGTGCAGCAGAATCACTGCGGCCCTCCGCCCATTCCCCTCCACCTGCTGCTGTTGCTGTGGCGTTTTGTGCTCCGGTATAAGCAGATTCATTATAGCGACAGGCATACGGCCCTGCTCGCTCTCCTGTAGCATGCACTCGTGCGTGCGGAGGGGAGAAAGGGGGTAAGGGGAGGGGAGGCAGGCGAGGAAGAGGGGAGACGGTGGGTGGAAAGACAGGTGCGCAAGGGCTTCAGGTAGCATGAGGGGAGGAGTGAGAGGTGGGAAGAAGGGACACAAGGGTTGAAGGCAGCGTCAGGAGGAGAGGAGAGGACCACGAGGTGGATGGGAAGAAGGGAGAAAACGGAAAGGATGCCGACACAAACAGGCGCAGGGGGCGCATATGCACAGGCGCAGGGGAAGCATATGCAAAACTTGAGAGTTTGATTCGGTACGACAAGCCAAGAGTGCAGGGCAGGGTGCGTTGGGAATGTAAGAGATAGGAAAGAACAGGTGAGTGCCACTCGTTTCACCACTAACCCGAACGCAATATCTCTCTCCCCAAGCGTTACCTCGGTACGAAGATCTATCTCTTGACGCACAAGGATGCGACCATCTGAGAGAGAGAGGGAATGCGAAGCAGGTGAGGGAAAGGGAGGAGAGGATATAGTGTTGAGACGTCTCGAGGGTTGTTATCAATCTCTTGACGCACTCCATCTCTCAGACTGATGGATGTGCAGCGGGTTCGAAAGAGATGGATGTGCAGCGAGGGGAAGTGAGGAGAGGAGAGAGTGCCTTGTCAGCAAGTGGATAACGGAATGCTGTTGCGAGAGTTGAGGGGAGAGCGCAGAGAGAGCGAAAGAGAGGGGACGAGAGAGGAGGGGAGAGAGAGGAGAGGAGATGCAGAGCATCATGCAATTCATGTGAAAAACGAAGGTGAGAAGCATCTTTTTATGCATATTTGGGATCCCACAATCTCCATTGCTCCGACCATCACCCTTCCCACAACCACCCTTCCCTACAATCACACCTGCCAGTGTCTCGCTGCTCTCCTGCCGGCTCGCCTCCAGAAATCCAGGAGCTGCAGCCAATAGAGACGGACGAAGGGGGATTGTGTCATGATGGCCTGGTGTCATGCTGGCGTAATGGCATGATGGTTTTGAGAAATCAGAGTCACGGAGCCAGCTTGAGGCGTGGAATGAAGGAGTGTGGTACTTGTAGCATCATTTCTTCCTTATCAGCCTCGTGTCCCTCCCTTTCTCAGCCTCGCTCCGCCCAGACCTTCCTCGAAACTTCCCGCCGTATTCTCGCATCTCACCCTCGAGCGGCCGTCGCCTGCTCTTCAATACGCGGACCAGCTCTTCGCGGACCCAATCGAATCCTTCGCGAACGTCGCCAATTTCGTCGGCCATCTTATTGCCCACCTCCCCGCGCTCTACGCCGAGATTGCGGGACCGTGGCTGGGTCGAACACTACTAATGCGCGGTCGCATCTGCGGTATTGTCTGTTAAGTGAAAGTAATTGATGGCTTCGGCGCCTTGGTTCAACGAATAATGGCTGCTCGGTCCCAGTAAAGTTTACTGCGGAGCCGAGCACCACTTGGGGTCTTTTGCAAGTCAATCAAACGAGCTTGAAGTCCATGCAAGGCAGAGTGCACGGATCGCCCTATTCGCCTGCTTGAAGCGCGGTAAGGGCGTGTAACCATTTCGATTTTTTACGATTTTGCGGACCGTCCGTATAGTATTAAGCGGACGGTCCTAATAACGAGAACAGGACCGTCCGCTTTGAAGTTTCGGAACCGTGGCACCGTCCGAATAGAAAAGTGACACTTTTTCACACCTCCCCAGTCTCGCGAGAACTGTAGCGTCGCCCAGCCCTCGCTAACCAAATAACCCAATGTACAAACATTCGCAAGTATCGCGAGCCAGCATGGCGGCTCGATTTCAAACATTCAAACCACGAAGCTGCTACACCCACCACCACTATCAACGCAGTGCAAAACTGTGTGTGACAATCTCGGGCCGCATGTGCGCCAAAATTTTGCGCAGGGCGGCTCGGCAGAGGGGTGTAGATATGAATTTCGCGCGCCAAACCAGGCGGAGTGGTGGCGGACCGTCCGTTGTGGTTTCGGACGGTCCGAAATGGCAGTTTCGGACGGAGGGAAAGGGAGAAAAGTGTCATATGGTTCGTTGTTTTTGGCGACGTCGTAAGGGGTCTTGGCGAAACACCACACGACAGTGCACGAAGTAGGTAACATTTCGCCAATCCGGACGGTCCACAATTCGGACCGTCCGGATGGAAAAATGGCAAAATGGGTACACGCTCTAATGGCGGCGACGCGGCTGGCGAAGTGAAGGGATGATGAATAGGGTGAATGTTTCGCTTTGGGGAAATTCCGCTTCTGTTACAGGACCAAATTATGTTGTGAGTTGTCAAAGTGCGTGCGGGAAATGTAGTGATGTTCACTAGTTTTCTCCATAGTCATTCACTTAATTGCACTCGTAACAAAACTCAACAATCGCGAAAACATACCACAACTGTATCGAGCATTTTGCCCGAGCCTTATCGAGTCGTACCAGTCTTAAAACATCCGCACCAACGTTCGTCTCCAAGAATATCTCACAGGCACGAGCCCCCCTCTGCTCATGTCTTGGCGTTCTCCTACCTATCGCAACGGCTGATCGAATTCCTCGTCATTTTAGCAAGTTAGCAGCGTCGGCGCCTAGTGCAAGCTTCCTTGCTGTAGTAGCCGCAGGTGACTTGCAAAACGCACACATTTCGCAATTCGCTTCACCCAAGACGATACGCACGCGTCTGGTGTCCCGTTAGGTAGTTCTCTCTGCGCGCCGAGTTAAGCGTGTCCTGTTAGTGTTCCCCCTCGTCGCGCCTAGTGTAGATCCGCGATGGCGCGGCGCAAGACCAAGGAGAGCAAGCGGAGGGCGGCGCAGGCGGGGAAGGAGGAGGAGGCGGCGGCGCAGATGGCCCCAGACGAGAAGGTTCCGCGGACCATGATGTTTGCGCGTGGGAAGGTTAACATCCTCCTCAAGCGCCTTGTGCAGGACATGCGGAAAATGTTGCTCCCCTTCACCGCGCTGAAACTCAAGGTCCGCCGCCTGTTAGAACCCCAGGTGACTTCTGAATCGACACACAGGTCTCTTGAAGCGCCTCGTGCAGGACATGCGGAAAATGCTGCTGCTTTTACCGCACTCAAACTCAAGGTGCTATCGCGCGAACGCGCACTCTTCCCGCGTCTCCCGCTTCACCCCACTCCCCCCCCCCACTCCCCCGTCCCCTCTCCCCCGTATCCCCCCTCTCCTTCCCTCCCAATCCCCTGGCTCGATCCATTTCCGCGCCTCTCTTCCCCGTCTACCCACCAGCGTCCACCGCCGCTTCTGGTCATTTCCACTCCGTTCCCTCGCGCCTTGCCATCTCGCCTTCCCCTGCACTTGCCTCCATCGCCGCCCCTCCCATCCTCTCCCTTTGCCTCTCGTCTTTCCGGCTCTCTGAAGGTCTCTCTACTGCGGTGTTTTTGAGATGTCTCAACCACCCACCCATTCGCTTTCCGCTGAAACCTGAAACCCATAAGAATCACGGCCCGATTCCCCTCAAAGGCGTTGTGCGCTGTTGGTAAGACGTCTCGAAGCCCTTCCCGCCCCTCCCGTCCCGACCACTTTCCTCTGTTGATCGCTCCCGGTCTCACGCGGCGGACTGGGTAGTGCAACACACTTCCCCGTGCTCTCTAGGTCTACCTTCATCCGAAGCCCTGAACCAGGACCTTAAACCCCAAACCCCTTTTAGGAATCTCAGCTCAATGATCTCAAGCATCTTCTCCGCGTGGCAGGCCCTCTGGGCGTCACGCACTTCCCCATCCTCTTCAACCCAACCTCATTAAATCCAAACCCCTCTGATCAAGGTCCTGAAACGTGAACCCGAAACCCCGAGTACCCTTCTCCAGGAATCCAGGCGCAATACCCTCAAGGGCTTCCTCCGCGCGGCAGGCCCTCACCAAACAAGGACCCGTTACCCGTAATGAAAAGGCTTAAACCTTGAATTCCTACAACCCTTAACCCCGTTCCAGGAGTCCAGGAAAAACACCCTGAAGGGCTTCCTCCACCTGGCAGGCCCTCACTAATCCAGAACCTGTTATTCGATAACCTTAAACCCTTGATTCCTACAACCCTTAACAATTCAGGAAAAACACCCTGAAGGATTTCCTCCACGTGGCAGGCCCTCTGGACGTGACGCACTTCCTCATGCTCTCCTTCCTCCTTAATATGGGTTTTTCTGCCTTAAACCCTAAACCATTTCCAGGAATCAAGGAAAAACACCCTCAAGGATTTCCTCCACGTGGCAGGCCCCCTGGGCGTGACACACTTCCTCATGCTCTCCAAGTCTGACGTGTCACCCTACCTGCGCGTCGCGCGCACGCCACGTGGACCCACCCTCACCTTCCGCATCCTCGACTACTCCCTCGCTGCTGACGTGGCCAAGTCGCAGAGGCGCCCGTACGTGCCAGCTGGCGTGTTCGAGTCGCCGCCACTGGTGAGGAGGGGGAGAGGGCGGGATGCGGAGGGAGCGGAGTTTGTAATTAGGGTTCAGGGTTCGGGGTTTAGAATCCGGGTTCAGGGTTCGGGGTGTGTAAATTGTAATCTGGGTTCAGGGTTCGGGGTGTGTAAATTGTACTCTGGGTTCAGGGTTCGGGGTGTGTAAATTGTAATACTTGTACAGGGTTTGGGGTTTGGTGAAGAAAGGGACCTGGAATAATAGCTCAGTTGGTCTGGTCTTTTGTTTGTCTGGATGTGCGCATGTGCCCCCATCTCCTCTCCCCCACTCTACTTCCCCGCCCGCTCCCCTCACAAACAGGTGGTGATGAACGGCACAGGGGCAAGGACGCGGAGCATCTGAAGTTCATGACCATCATGTTGCAATACATGTTTCCACCCATCGACATGCGCTTGTTTAAGCCTTCATATGTGTGTATGTGTGCATGCGTCCCCACCTCCTCCACATCCCCCTTTTCTTTCCCCCACCCCTCACAACCAACCAAACAGGTGGTGATGAACGGCATGGGAGCGAGCGGCAAGGGCACGGAGCATCTGAAGCTCATGACCATCATGTTTCAGAACATGTTCCCACCCATCAACGTCTCCACTGTGAGTGGGTAACATGTGGCTGTCCCTTCACTCACACACAGTGTCTCTTGAACCATTCATCGGAGCATCTGAAGCTCATGACCATCATGTTTCAGAACATGTTCCCACCCATCAACGTCTCCACTGTGAGTGGGTAACATGTGGCTGTCCCTTCACTCACACACAGTGTCTCTTGAACCATTCATCGGAGCATCTGAAGCTCATGACCATCATGTTTCAGAACATGTTCCCACCCATCAACGTCTCCACTGTGAGTGGGTAACATGTGGCTGTCCCTTCACTCACACACAGTGTCTCTTGAACCATTCATTGGAGCATCTGAAGCTCATGACCATCATGTTTCAGAACATGTTCCCACCCATCAACGTCTCCACTGTGAGTGGGTAACATGTGGCTGTCCCTTCACTCACACACAGTGTCTCTTGAACCATTCATCGGAGCATCTGAAGCTCATGACCATCATGTTTCAGAACATGTTTCCACCCATCAACGTCTCCACTGTGAGTGCAGTGCAGCTATAGCACCACATCCACGCACGCACGCACCCCCACAACCTATGTCTCTGTGTCTCTTGTAAGTCGTAACAACACAATGGAGCATCTAAAGCTGATGACCATCAACGTCTTCACTGAGAGTGCCTTGTGATTGACCTGAACCATCTCAACCTCGTGCTTCAATGCGACAACACACACACACACCCCATGTCTCTGTGTGTGTTCAAACCCACTCAGAACATCTGAACCTCGTATGGCCATAATGTCTCCCTCCCTTTCACCCTTCCTCTCACTGCCTCCCCTCCCCCAGGTGAAACTCTCCGATTGCAGGCGTGTCCTGCTCCTGAATCACGACCCAGCATCTGGCACCATCGATTTGCGCCACTATGCCATCACCGCCCGCCCTGTGGGTGTGTCGAAGCCGCTTTCCTGTCGCAACCTCTCCCCTCCAATTTTTTTCCTTTTCCCTCCCCCAGGTGAAACTCTCTGATTGCAGGCGTGTCCTGCTCCTGAATCACGACCCTGCGAGTGGGACTATTGACCTGCGCCACTATGCCATCACCGCCCGCCCTGTGGGAGTGTCGAAGCCGCTGCGCAATCTGGTGCACCACCACGCTCTGCCCAACCTCAGCCATCTTTCTGACATTAGTGAACTCGTTACAAGGTAAGGACGATCCGCTATAAGGTAAGGAGTGTCGAAGCCGCTGCGCAATCTCGTGCACCACCACGCTCTGCCCAACCTCGGCCACCTCTCCGATATCAGCGAACTCGTTACAAGGTGAGAGCTCGTTATAAGGTAAGGACGAACTCTATAAGGTTTGGATCCGTTATAAGGTAACAACGATCCATTATAACATAAGGATTGTCTAAGCTCCTCCCTGCGCAGGCCAGCAGCCTATCCGTCAGACAGTGAGGCGGATGAAGACAGCAGGGTGCAGGCCGTGCAGGCCAGGGTGCGAGCAGTCAGTGGGGGTGCCAATGTGTTTGTTGTCTTCACTTACGCTATGTTCCTCCCGATTCCCACGCAGGCCGGCAGCGTACCCATCAGACAGCGAGGCGGACGAAGGGAGTCAGGTGCAGGCCCCTCAGGACATGGGGCGGGGCGTGTGGGCGGCGCAGCAGAGCCAATTTGTTTCCTGTGTTGATGTTCATACCACACCCACACTGTCTGCAGGCCGGCAGCCTATCCGTCCGACAGTGAGGCAGACGTGGGGAGTCGAGTGCAAGCTCCTCAGGACATGGGGCGGGGCGTGCGGGTGCCGCAGCAGAGCCAGCCAAGTGAAGCTGCACGAGCTGACCCTCCCTTACTATCTCTCTTCCCCGCACTCCCCCACACAGGCCGGCAGCCTACCCATCAGACAGCGAGGCAGATGAGGGCAGCAGGGTGCAGGCCCCTCAGGACATGGGACGGGGGTGCGGGCGGCGCAGCAGAGCCAGGTGAAGCTGCACGAGCTGGGGCCACGTGTCACGCTGCTACTGGTCAAGGTGGAGGAGGGCATGTCCAGCGGTGCTGTCATGTACCACCGATTCGGTGAGCCAAAAGAGGGGGAGGAGGGGAAGAGAAAGGTATGTACAGCCTACAGGTGATGCTGCTACTGGTGAAGGTGCAGGAGGGCTTGTCCAGCTGCGCCGTCATGTGCCACCGATTCGGTTTAGGGCAGGGGGGGGGGGGGGGGGGGGGGGGGGGGGAGGGGGAGGGGGGAGGGGGGGGGG